TTCCAGTAACTGAACAAACTCATGTGAATATTTGCCAGCAGGAGCTCTGATTTGCAAACTGCAGAATGATAATGCAATTGCAAATGATAGCTGTGCCACTGCAAAATTCTGTAAGCTGTGAATTAAATTAAACAGGCCTAGAATTGTAACTGCGTATGTGTTGGGCTTTTACCTTACAAAATAAAAGTTTGCTACCGTGTGCATTGTATTTAATTAACAACCTTGACTCTTCTTGCTGCCCTGTTGAAACAGTGTTCTGGTCAGTGATTCCCAAACCTTTCTAGTTGCAACCTTATTTATAGTTTCGTTAGACTTTAAATATTAGTACTATGGGGTCCCAATACTGTCCTAAATACTGGATAGAACTGATTTTATGTTGGGTTTCTGCCTCCTATTTTGGGAATTGTTAGGCTAACGAGTAAGTACTTTGAGCTTACGCAGCAGAGCAGTCTGGCACGGCAAACAAACAAAAAGACAGTGACAGAATCAAGAAACAGACCCGTCTGTTTATGCCTGCAAACGTGCTGGCCTCTCCCTCGGTACAAAATCGGCCGTGGGAGCACTGCTGAGATTACGTGACTTCGTGGGACAGTCACCCATTGGATCTATAAATGTAGCGAGCGATTTAATAGCAAACACACTCAACAGACAGATTTTTCTGAAGGCTGTATGACCCCCCCTCAAGCAGACTACGTGTAAAGAGCACAAATAGCTATAGTGCGACAGTGTCAAAGACAAGCAGAAAGGGAGCTGTGTTTCCATGATATGCTTTGTGTTGAGTTTCTTGCTTTTCTTGATCTGTACATGTGGCTTGTAAGCTCCCCGAGACGCTCTTGTTAAAAACTGGTATTGCAGTTGGACGAAAACGTTTTGTGTAGGTTTTTGATACAGTTGTTATAGAAAGGGCAGTGAAATATTTTTTTGAGTTTGATACCATTAAATGTTGGATAACTGATCTTTTTGTTAAATAAAATGTTGATCAACTATTACTGTTAAAGTTTCTTTTTTTTTTCCTGCCATTTTGGTGGGCGGGGAATCTGAGTAGCAACAGATACCCTTCGTGCAGCACTCTCCCTGTGCACCTGGCAGGCTTATCCTGCAGATGTTCAGTATTGCTGTTGATCTTCAGGAAAAATATTTTAAACTAAGATTATTTGATTCAAAATGATTGAGAGTAATAAACCACAATAGAAGATTTTGGTGTAGTGCTTCACACAGGTGAAGTGAAGTCATTCTTTGGCCTTCCAAGGAGTTCCCTAAATTGCCCATCCCATATTGCCGTCAGCTGCGACAGTTGGGAGGGTGATGGCTCTCTCAGCTGGCAACTCCAGCTCCCTGATGGAATTAAATCCTTTTATGTAAGAAACAACATTTCATCCCCCAGGCCAGCGAAAGCAAACTCGCCGGGCTTTGTACCCGAGATTTGATGTTTTCACTCCATCTGTAGCTCCAAAACCCCATCCACTGCACATAAAATGCTGGAAGTGTGGTGTGGTTTGGGGTTGATGCAGATCCCAGTCCTTTATGCCAGATATAAATACTGTGCATATCAGTGGATGGCACTTGCAGTCCAAAAGTTGATGGCCCGAATGACTCCGTAGAAGTGCTACCATCTTGTGAAAGCCGCTTTCTCAGAAGGCTGTTGCACAAAATTCTCCTTTTTTTTGATTGGGAAGTAGATTGCTCGCTTGTCGCTGTGGTTCAGGTGCGTTGCTTCTGGGCGCTTACCAAGCTGAGATAAGCAGCTGGAAGCAAGTTGTGATTGAGTGCTGCTAGAAGTAGTCCTTGGTGTGGAAATAGCATCTTACTCTGTTCTCATATGTACCCCAAAAACCAAGTGTGTCTTCTGGATGTCTGGAATTGTTTTGTCTGAGAAAATCTTCGTGAACGGCCCTTTCTGCGCAGAGGATCGTTCCAGATGGTTCCCAGGAGGTGGTCTGAGGAGTGCGTGGCAAACCAGGACAGCAGAGCCGTGCTGCAGGGCAGGTGCAGAACCAAGAGCGGCCCCGCACACAGAAGTGCCGTCAGTTGGTAATCCCGAAGGTCGCCATGCTGGAATTTTTTTGGAAAAGCACGTCAGCGATGGGATAGCAGGTGTGACTTTTCCAGTGCCTCTGGCTAGGGTAAGTACCTCTGAAATTCTCATTCTGTTGCTCCCTAGGCCATAGCAAACATGGCTTGTGGTGCATCTAAATGATGTTTTTCTGTCGAGAGGAAGTTTTTGTTGCCCCCTGACCTCATCCGCCCCCCTCCCCAAGCCTGGAGGCTGCCATTTTGGAAAAGAGAATGCAACTCTGGGGGAAAGCAGAGAGTAAATGGAAAAACTTGCTGCAAAATATTCGTATTTACACAGCGTTTACTTGCCCAGACAAAGGCAACAGAGGCCAGGACTACCTGGTTGCATTAGGCTAAACTGCTTAAAATCCAGAATTTTTTATTACTTAACGTAGACCTTATCAGTTCTTTTCCTTTCTGTGGGCAGCTATCAGCCCCTACCCCAAAGGAAAGCTCAGGGCCACCTTCCTTCTCAGAAAAGAGTTGTGCTTCGCTTGAGTGCCGCTACCCGTCGCTCCTCGCGGTGCGTGGCAGCCTTTTGATAAAAGTGAGGGCAGCCTGCGTGCTAGGGAGCCAAACCAGAGCCTGGGATGGGGGGAGCTGGTTGGGGATTGAAACTGTGCTGGTACGGACTGGGAGAGCTCAGCTCACCTCCAGCGAGAAATCAATCCCACTACGTCACTGTCCTGTTAGAGAGGGTGGCCTCTGGTGGGCAGAGATAGAAGGGAAATGTTTTCTGCCTCAACGTGCAAAATAATTTATTTATGCAGAAAGTGTCTATTTAGATTCTATATAAATATAGATATTCTATCTATATTTAGATTCTATTGAGAGATCTATTTATATACTTTCTTACATACTTATTTAGAAAAATAGATGCTAACTCTTCACAGATCATTAATAGCCGGATGAAAATGGACGGTTTAGCTGAGGAGGGACTGACCGGAGATCAGGCTGCTGCCCCACCTGTAATGAAACAGCCAGGTGCTATTCCCAGAGCCGGGCCGCTGACTCCTGCCGGGCAGCTGGTGGATGGAAGGGAGCTGCCTGCAGTCAAGGTTGGCGCTTACCTTCTGGATTGTCAGAGGCTCAGTGGAAAAGGAACACGGGTGTGCACCCAGAAAAATACGGGTATTTATATTTTCTGTGTGAGGTTTCTGCCCTAAAATGCTGTATAACTCTGTATGTGCTTTGTATATTTTAAAAACCATCCTTAAATTAGGGTTTGTGTTTTTTTGCAGTTGTCGAACTCAAATGGTTTTTTCTGTGTGAAAAAACATTGATTTTCCTTTAAGCTTGAATTGGTATCTTTAGCTCGTACTTGGTGCGTGTTTTTGGCTCAGTTCAGGACTACTAATTTGTGTTTGACAGTAAGAGGACATTTGAGCTGGCTGCAACACCCACTCAGGAGGACGACACATTTTTAGCTAAATAAAGGTCCCAAATACTTGACCTTGGACATGTGCTACAGACAGAACAGATATTGTGAGCAGAGGGGGCAAAAAGTAACAAACTCGCTTAACTTTGCTGCTTACTCCTTGATTTTAACTTTAGAAATACTCTTTTGGCTGTGGGAAAATGGTCTGGGAAATGTATGATACCTTTCTTTCCTAACTGAGGCATAAATGAAATACGCTTTTAGGGTGGCAGAATGTTGCTAGTTAGAAAGTTGATTCAGAAAGACAGACTGAGTAGTGTCTCTTCCCTAAAACTGACTGCAGGATCTGGATGGCAATTACAACAATTTGACTTGCTGGAGAAGGGCGATTTAACTTGTAGGTGGGGTGTTCATTTTGTTTGCCGTTAATTTCGTTCATGGTGTTGGAGAGGCGACTGATAGTATCCATTCTTATTTCTAGCCAACAGATCAGCAATAAAAAGATGGGATTTTGAAAAAGCGGAGGATATCTAAAAGCGCATCTTGTGTTTTCCCTTAACTACCATACAAGCAAGAGTCATGGTTAACAGTGAGATGATGAAAGGATATTGATAATCTGCACAGCACTATGTCAGTTTTTTAAATCGCAACTCCTGGTTCAGGTTGAGCATGTCGGTAACTGTTTTTTTCTAGAAAGCTGTGTGTTTGGCATTTCAACCAGCAACTTCTTTGGCGTGCGGATACCCGTTGTGCAGTAAATGGGTTCTGTCAGGTTACCGCAACGTGGCTTTAGCTGCTTTTATATCCTAGCAGAGGCTCACTGCTCTGGCAGAGCCCTAGCACAGAACCTGAGACTGCCAGGCTTTAATGGAGAGAGTGTGCTGGAGGTCTTGGCTTGCCTGCGGGCTTGTGGAAGGGCAAGAATCCTTTTCGTGAAGTGGCTGTCACTGTGGACTGAGCATTCGGGCACTGACGATTCATTGTC